GTTTTAGAGAGGTGTTGATTGAACTTTATTTTGGAGGATATAGTTTGTGGTGCTGTTGAACTGTGTTGTATTATACTGACAGGTGTTTCTATTATTTATCTTATAATAATGAATTCAAAGTGCTTTTCTTGACTCTGACATTGAGGAACTTGTTGATTCTGACATGCAGTTTCTGTGTCACTGTGTTTTAGGTGTTTGAGGGTTATGTGGATGACTGCAGGAACACGGATAACGCCTGGGTGGAGACCACCGTCCTAAATATTCACCTGGACAGAACGAGCCAGGTGATGGTAGACATCAACAACGTGGTGAGAACAAAGAATTATTAGATTTTTTTTCCAATTACATTGGCCGAAATTTGTGGACAGAATTCAGGTCCAATTCCTCCTACAGTGAATATATATATTTGCTCATCATTGTTTTGTGACGATCTCTCTCTCAGTTGGTGAGCAAACACGGGTGTCTTCAGTGGCAGGAGGTGAGCGGCAAAACCAACCTTGGCTCAAACCAAAGAGAATTTCTGCGGCAGGTTGCTGAGCTGCACAACAGGAAGTTCTGATGTTCACACCGCTGTAGCTGTAGCTGTAGCTGTAAACGTGCCTCTCTCGCTTTTCTTCAGCCTGTTCACGTGGCCTTTTGTTTAGGCTGACGTGGATTCATTACATTGCACTGAAATCACTAAATAAACTATATAAAGCCATATAATGTTATGCTGCTGTGAATAACAATTTGCACACGTCATACGACACTGAATGTGCTATGTGTTGTGAGAATAAATACTCCAGTACTGCAGAGTAACTAAGTACACTCACTCAAATATGATCCAGTTTCGAGGTAGTTGTACGTCACACGAGTATTTCCATTTTATGCTGCTTAATACTTCTTCATCAGTACATTTCAGATACATACATATTCAAATATTGTTTTACTTCACTACATTAATCTGACAGTATATCTTACTGTGTATAAAATGAGGCATTGTTGCAGATGAAAATGCCCAACACGTGGATAATATAGTCAATCGTATAGAAATAAATGAGACTTTTAGACTTTTTTTAATAATAAATATCTATATAATTGCGACAGAAATGTAGATCTGCAGATTCAAAAGACCTTCTTAGATCATCTCAAGTGTTCCAGAGAAGCTTTATTCCAGTTTGGAAGCTGTATGAGGTCCTTTAATTAATTATCTGGAGATGATGATATGTTCCTCTGTTGCCTCACTTCATGTTGACTGTATGATGGGAAGAAGATGGACATTGGTCATAGAAAGAAGAAACATTTTTATTTTTTATACATTTGAAAGGTTCTATTTATTTCATCTTAAATGTATTTTTATCTTTATTTTTCTTGTGTATGATTGTATATGGATTTCCAGTTGTCATTTTCGTTTCACCAGCTGCAATATTAGAATATTTACAAGGCGGTACATCAATAATACAATAATTCACAGTTTATAATAATATCTGAAAGGGACCGTATATACTGTATATTGTGGACTACTAATACTTCTGTATCACTACTGCTCTAATTTAACTTCCACCACCAACATATTTACTTTTTCTGCTCAACTTCCCTGTACTTGTTTGTGTTTATTTCACGTGTGACCTGACATAATCAAGCACTCTTGGCCTTAATAATTATTTAAAAAAAATAAAAAACTACCTAAACTGAATGGTCTTTTCTGCTTTTTGTGTTTAATAGAAAAATACTGTGTTCTCCCACATTGCTCTGCAGAGAAATTAAACTCAAACTGAACACTTTGGGGATTATCTCAGTGCAGTGAACTCATGCATATTCAGTTTGTGATCTCTTCTACAGTCGACACTGTTTTTGTCCACCTGCCAAGCATTTGCAGTCTAGCAGCAGTTTCGGAGCAGCCTCTGGGCGCTCATTGGCTCAGGCAGAGGTGGCCAGACAGCGCAGTATCGGTTTCACACCCTCCTCATTCCGCTTATGTTTTTCCTCATTCAGATAAATAGATAATTCATCTGCCAGGAAATCAGGAAAGATCATTCATTTCTCTCCGTGATAACATATACAGAGTGGGGACTTTTAATGTGAAGTGGACATGTGTGATTGTAAAGTTCCTGCAGGCTCTTAAATGAAGACGTTTCATTGTGAAGATTAAACTCTGCAAACATAAAAATGTATAATGTATTACCCCCCCTGCCTTTATTATTGTGATTTGTCCCCGGCAGCGCAGCGCCATTGAAAACATACAGAAGCTATTTTTAACCACAGCTTCAGAGAGGGTAAGAAAACTGAGAGCTCCCACTCTGATCGTATTTCATGATACCACAAAGCACTGAGAGAGTCACTGTTGGGGTTCTGTTATTGTTGACCACTTTTAATTCAGTCAAAATATTTTGTTAACATCCAGTGCTGTCAAATGATTATTATATTGTACATATATGTATTATATTATAAATATTGTACTTTTACTCCAGTTACCAAGCAGTAGGCTATGTCAAATAAACATTAGCCGCTTTACCAGCTGCAACATTAATATGTTAACATGTACACATGCATCAATAAGTATAACCCTGTAATAGAATATATTGGCCTATTATAATGAAAAGGTCCATACTGCATGATGAATTTTATTTTTGGTACTTTAAGTTTGATGCTAATTCTTTTATACTTTAACTCAAGTAAATACAAGGACTTTTAGTTGAGTATAATCTAGTAATACTACTTTAACGTAAGTAGAAGCTGTGAGTCCTTCTTCCACCACTGCTGCATATCGTCCCAGAGACTGCACTGACTGATCCCAACTCATTTATTTATTATTATTAATGTCTATGGAAGGCAAGAATGATCCAAAATTAACAATGAAACAATTTGAAAAAGGTCCAGGAATATCTCAGTTCTATGTTTTATACTATAAATTGTGTACTTACATATATGCAGCATTATTTTGGTAGTTAATAATGAAGAAAGTTAAAATGACAAAAACAAACTGTGCCAGTGGGTCACTGCTAAATTTAAATCTAAAAACCTGACTAATAGGGAACTGGGATCTACCACTAATTACTGGTTCAGATTTGTTTTGTCCCTGAAGCTGTCACACCAACCAAACCACAATTTGTTTTCATTTTCGTCCTGTTTACAACTCTTGTTTCGGTTATGCTTCAGGTTGTTGTTGAGTGGCCCTTAAAACAACACTGAATAATCTGTTTTACTGTGCATGCTTTGAAGGAATTGTGAATTTTGTACATTTTCCACAGTGAACAGATCGTTCACAAAATGTGGTCAGAAGCAGAAGTTTATCCTGTACAGCGACGAGAAAATAAGCATTTGTTTGGATATATGAACTATATATATACAACTGCCTGTTGTTGCAATATGTAGACAATATGCATTAGGGAAATCCTTTTATTCTTATATCCTCGATTCACATAAGAAAAACAAAACAAAACAGAACAAACAAAACTATTTACTTGGAAACAATAGGAGAAACCTCAGGAGGCCTTGTTCTTTTGTAGTTTGTTACAGAATTTGCACAACTAAAATATTTGACCTAATGTTTAGTCCTACATTATTATCTCGTCTTAAAGGGGCTTGAGGTTTTAATACAGCCATGATACGGTGTTAAAAGACAGTGAAAGGAGTTCAGTAGCTTAATCATTCTGGTCTCTTTTAAAAATGATGAGATACTATGATTTTACAAGCAAGTGCATCTACCTAATGGGACTGGAGGAGGAACTATTAAGATAATTTACTCAAGTAAAATTAATTAAAATGAATTCCTAATTGGGATTAACCCCTTACATATTATTTACATTATTTCAGGGGTTTTTATTATTAGTATCATTAGAAAAATTTGATTTATTGTGATTGTAATACTGTGATTTCACCTAGATTTAGGTCTTTCCAAATGTTCACATCAATTATATCTTGTGGTAAAATAGTAAGTACAAAAACACATCTCAGTTAAAAACTTTAAACCATTTTCCGCAGTCACTATTTGTTTTTTTACAAGCAAGTGCATCTACCTAGGAAGTATTAAGATAATTTACTCAAGTAAGATAAATTAATTAAAATTAATTCCTGATATGGACGCCTCATTGGGATTTACCCCTTACATATTATTTACATTATGACAACACATTTCTTTGTTAAAAAATACTGTGATTTCACCTGGATTTAAGTTTCTCCAAAAGTTTACCTTCATTACTTCTTGTGGTGCAAAAACTTTTAACCACAGTCTGCAGTTACTGCTGCTTATTTCAATATATGTTAGTGTACCAACCCCCATTTTCAGGTGTTGCTGAACTCATCTCTCCAATAGACGATCTGCGACGACGTGCACGCCGGAGGTTTACAGGTGTCCGGAAGTGACGTAGCACGCTCACAAGGCTACACCATTGGATTGGACAATAAATATATGGACTGAGAGAGAGAGAGAGAGAGAGAGACAGAGGGAGGGAGAGAGGGAGGGAGAGAGAGGGGGAGAGAGAGCAGTGTGGACATCTCTGAGGGATCCAGCGGAGCTACACGGTAATATCCTGCGTTTATTTAATGACTTTAATCCTTTATAGTGACAATAAAAGCTCCACAGCTCTCACAGTTGGACGGGATTGGGTCTGATTGTTGGGATGAGACTGTGTGTGTGTGTGTGTGTGTGTGTGTATATCTGTCAGTGGAGCTGCGGTGTGTTGTGTGTATTAACGTCGATGACGGTGTTACTGCATAACGCTGTAAACTGTTCATACTGTTTATGAATGAATGTTTCAGCCCATAATAAACACCTATAGTTGCAGCCCGAGTTAAAGCCTGTACCACCGGGTTTAATCAGCCAAACAGCAGATATATATATATATATGTGTGTATATAAAGTGGTTATTGCGCATACAAGTATTTAAAAAAAGCTTCTCTCTCTCTCTTTTTTTTGTCTTCCTTATGTAATCAAGTGGACAATCTTTGTTGAACTGGGTCTAGAAAAAGACCTTGTCTGTTTGAAGCAGGAGGAAATTACAGACCTCTGTGCGCTGCTGTTGCAGGAGGGAGGGTAAATTATAGTGGGTGGTGAAGAAATGTTTGTTTTTGAGTGAGATGTTACTCAGAAAGTACTTTTTGTGTAGTATTTTTTTTGACTACGTGGCTAAAACAAAAGCCCCTGGCTGGGAGAGGTTTGGCTCTGGTTTGAATATTTTGTTTTCCTTTCAGTTAGACTGCACTGTTTGTATTGAGGATGTTATATGGTGTTTACACTTGTTTGTAAGGATTAGGGTTATAGCTATATGTGGCTTAAACTAATGCCACAACCCTGCAATAAGTCTCCATTAAGTGAACTGTTTTAGATTAAACTATATGGACGTTTTTGAGGCTGTACTGGTCCAAAAACAATGCAACAATATTTTATTTTGTGATATTGTAATTTGATTTTTGTGTTTAAACATCCAACTACATGTTATAAATGTAAAGTGAGGGCTCTGACGTTGGATGTTACTGCGACTGTGGTGAATACAAATGCAGATCCCACCGTTCTGATTGCATACAAACGTTGGTTTTAGATTTTATGCATATAGTCTGATGTTGTTCTTTTTTTTATATCACAATATAAATATATATCACCTCACTTACAGTATCACAGTGTATTGAACCATAACCCCTGTATTGTGATATGTATTCAATCACCAGACTCCTAGTAATGCTGCAGCATCATAATGAGAGATGTTTCTAATATTTTGCCAACCCCATTTATAACAATGAGGGGAGACACCTCTCAGTCTTATGTAATACGATTCAACTACATTATATAGCAGAACAAAGTCATAGTTTAGTCTCTAGTAAGCCCCATGTCTTGCTAAATGATGTCCTGAGTCAAATCTATGTCCTAAACAAGTCATAATACACACAAATGTAATGCTATTAAAAGGTTAATTGAACTGTATAATAAGCATTTCCCTTTAAAATGTGTACCTATCTCTGTGCCTTGTTATTTCTGTGACACTGTTACACTTATTCGAACCACATGTTTGCATGTTGCCATCTATTTTTTTCTTTGTTGACCACAGCACAATCTAACACATCAGCCTCCATGCTCTCTGCGAGCAGCTCTCAGTCGGCCATCTGACACAAATCAGAGGTGATCATTCGTACGTCTTTCACGAAGACTTAATGTCACAACAGTTTTATGGTTCGTCCGCTTTTTCACTTGTGTCCCAAACGCATACTTGACAGTCAGCGGTGGAAAGCGTTACACGTGTGAGCGGTGGATGCTGTGTGCTGTCACGACAGCAGCATTGTGTTCCACCCTCATTGTGCTGAGTGGGACATTTCCAGTAAGTGTCCACGTGTGTCACTAATGGCTTTGCTTCTCTTGTAACGGCTTGCCTGTCTGTGGTGCAGTTACAGGTCACACACGGCACCAATCAGCCAAATGCAGTCCCCCACTAACAGAGTGTTGAAGGTTACACCTCTCTGGTGTTCTTTGTGTTTCTTAACTATAGCACAAAGACACCCAACACCAGGTTTACGGTAAATGTGAGCAACTGTAACTGTGGGCCAGAGTTTTTTTCATACATTGACATTGAACCCAAACTCAGCCACCAACAGAGAATGAGCAGATTGTTTTTCCTTTCAACAATACACAGTACGGCAGTGAGGGCGTGACTTCCATTTCATTTCCCGATATGTTACAGAGAGAGGGGGGAAGTCAACGAATTCCCCACATTTCATTAGCAGCAATCATAATAGGAGTGTTTCTTAAAGGATGAGGCTGGCTATATTCTACGCAAATTTTGTCTGTGATTAGTTGCTTTTCTGCATTTTTTTTAATGAGCTTTAATTTAATATTCTTCTTAATGTCAACAAATTGCATGAAAAGACCCAAACGACCAACCTATTGAAGTGACAATATATAATGCAGTGTATCGTTCTGTGCCGTAGAGCTTAAAGACACATCAGTGAGCCACACTGTTACACTATCACCACAAATATGGGCACTGTAGTTTATTTTGGCTCAGCCCCACATATATCATCCTAGTGCCAGATATACTCACTAGCATACCGATTGTGTATTAATCCGCAACTGAAAATAGTCCCGAGCAAATGTGCTACTAGTCCTGTTTGAGTAACGTTTTCTAAACTCTACTAAGCCCAGCTGTTTTATAAAATGGCCGAGCCTTTTTTTAGAAATGAACCTATATATTGATGTTGAGAGAGTTCATTCTTGACCTTGGAAACAGTAGTCGACAAAACAACATCATCGCGAAGTCTATTTCTGTTCTTGAGCTTGCAATCTTATCACTCGACCTTCATCAGCAGAAGAGGTTTGCCCAGTTGTCATGATGTTCAGATTTCAACACTTTAAACTCCTCCATGTTGGCCTTAAATACGTTGAACCCAAAGATTTACACATTCAGTAGAAATGAGTACAGTGTCACAGACAGGATAGAGAAGTGGACTGAAAGACATACTAACAACATTTGAGAGGATTTTCATGGGATTTGTTGACAATAAGAAAAATAAGAGTGCCACTAGCCTTATCCTATAAGTGGTTCAACGCTCAAAATTCCCTCTTCTAGAAGAAGTGGGTCACTCTGGTGCTGCTGTTGCGTGGCATGTTTGTACAGTTGTCAAGAGTACCTGCGCATCTGAGCTGTTGAGTGCCACGTCGAGCAGAGCGTCAGCAGAGACATAGGAAGGGCAGGCCGGTCCTGATGCTGGCGTACAGACAGGAAGCTGTATTTTATGTAATTGACATGTGTAGCAGCAGCAGCAGTGTGGCCCTGCAGCTGGTCTGATCTCTCTAATCCCAGCCCCGGAGACTCAGCTTGTTTACTTTTTGGTCACATTTATATAGCGTCAGTGTCGCGTTCCATCGGGCTTAATGAATAAGCTCATTGCTGTATTTCATAAGATGAAACAACATTTAAGAATATAGTATAAAGGTTTTATGTTTTATGTGTCATTAGTGGTTTGCTGCCCTTGATCCATCACAGCCATGAGAAAAAGGACTACATTAGTTACTCCCCACACTCTTGGTTCACCCCCACAGGTGTTTTCACTCCATCATTCTGATGTTAGCTTTGATGCCATTTTAGACCTTTTTCACGGCATCCATTTTGACATGAAACAGTAGGGTAAACACAGTTGTTACCAGTGATACTGGTTAAAGCTCCTGTTCATGTTAAACAGAGTCAGGGTGCTGCTATTGTGTATGTTGGCTCACTGGAAAGGTTCTGCTACACTAAATTGAACAGAATCTTAATTAAATCATTACTAACACCTGTGTACCCTACTATTTTATGTCAAAATGGCGGCTGAGAAAAAGGTCTACAGGCTAAAAAACAATTGATATTGTCCAAAATGTTTGAGTGCCAAGTTTGGAATCAGTGTTGTTTGATGTCATGGCACAAAATTAGAGAAAATATACAGGCACAATATCTTTTACACCCAGCTAGTACTGAAACAGTTGATTAACAGTTGTTAATTATTTTTGACAATGAACTATTTGTCAATTATCAAGCAAAGACCCTCAAAATTCTCTGGTTTCAGCTTCTCAAATGTGATCATTTCTTTCTTTTTCTCTGTTTTGTGTCACTGTTTATTGAAAACCTGCTGGGTTTTGGACTGTTGGTCGGACAAAACAAGAAATTTAAAGACATTACCTTGCTCTGTGGGAAATTTAATGTTATTATTGTAATATTATTCACAAACTTGTGACTTTTTATAGACTAAAGGATTATTTAAGTGAAGCTGAAAAATACTAATAATCCTTATAGTCCTACACCCAACACAGTAAATCAAACTACAACAAATGGACAATAAAATAAAGCTATATATTGAATAAATGTGGAGCTGAGCAGTGAATAATAATTACATAGGTTTACCGTATGTGCTGAATGTTCATATTGCGTGCATGTACGGCTATTGAAGGGCATTTGAGTGGAAAAAGCCAAACAACAAACGTAAAGGAGGGATGTGAACATGAATGTATTGCCCCCTTTCCTACCGTATCCCTCTTTATCTCTCTTCCTCTCCTCCCCTCTCCCCCCCCCAGGCCCTCTCTTCCTCTCCTTCCTCCTGACTGACATTTCTGTAATGACATTGTCTGTGCTCCACAGGCCCTGCCTCCATCCCATCCTTAGCTTACTGTGCGCCACACGCAGGGCCAGCTTGTCACACCGAGAGCCATCCTGGCACGCCTCACATCTATATCAGACCACTAAATGCCAATAACGACAACTCAGCTTGATTAAGAAAGTAAGCATCTTCCGTCTTCCGGGCCCCTCTGCTCTGTTAGCATCCGCCGGAGGTAGAGTTGCCGTTTGCCAAAAGGGTTTATTGGACACACTCGCAGACGCTCTGCTGGTCAGCCTGTTTTAGGATTGGGTTGAGAAGTGGGTTAAGCCGCACATCTCTTTATATTTGGGCAGGGGTATTACAGTAGTGACTGTGAAGGGTTTAGATTAACTCAGCATTGTTGAACCCTAAGTGTGGCTGGGCTTTGCGGCTAATATTATGCAGGCTTTACTTCCTGGAGCAATGTT